GTAATTAATTAAAAACCATTATTTGTATTGAAGGGAATTTTGATAATGAAAATTTTGTTTTAAAATTTTATAAAAAAAAAAAAAAAAAGACAAGGACGAATTTTTTCTTTTTTTTGGCAAATTTTTTTTTAAAAATTTTAAAAAACTAATAGTATTTTTTAAGTAATTAATTAAAAAGTATTATTTACATTGAAAAAAATTTTTGATAATGGAAATTTTATTTTCAAAATCTTAAAAAAAAGAAAAGGACGAGTTTTTTCTTTTTTTTGGCAAATTTTTTACTTTTTAGAAAATTTTAAAAAACTAATAGTATTTTTTAAGTAATTAATTAAAAAGTATTATTTATATTGAAAAAAGCTTTTGATAATGAGAGTTTTATTTTAAAATTTCACAAAAAAAAAAGGACAAATCTTTTCGTTTTTTTGTTTTTGTTTTTTTTTTAAGCAAATTAATTAAAATATGTAATTTTTAATAAAATTAATTCAAAAAATTATTGGATGTTTAAAAATTTAGAAAATGGACAGAAATTTTGTGAAATTTAATAAAAATTTATTTTTAGACAAATTAATTAAGTGAGTAATTTCTTGGAAATTAATTAAGAAAAATTTTGTTATATATACAAAAATTTTTGAAAAATGAGATTTTGTGATATTTATAAATTTCATCATAAATGTCAATCAATTAAATAATTTCAAATAGTGGATGTGCAAAAAATTTGCTATCATATACCATAGTATTTAATAAATTTAATTAATTCAATACATTATATTAATTTGTTTTTAATCCATCAATTTAATTAATTATATCGGATTATTTACTTATTCATTTGTTTATTCACGGATTTGTCGCTGCTATGTTGCAAAATTTATATAAATTATTTCAATTTCTTTTTAATTAACGAATTAATTAAATGTATTAAATTATTTATTTATTTATTCATTCATTTGTTTATGGATTTGCTATTGTGCCGCAAAGTTTATAAAAACTATTTAAATTTCTTTTTAACTAATTAATTAAATATGTTGAATTATTTATTTGAATTTATTAAATTTAATCTAATATAAATAATGTTTATTTATTTATTTTGTTTATTTATTTATTCATTTTTTATTCA